CAGATTTTTAGATTATCTTTTTGTGCAACAATGAAGCACTCGAGGGGATTTCTGTATGGGGATTTATCAAGAGGACTGAACATTGTTTACAGGATTACAGGATTAGTTTGAGATTTTGTTTGAAACTTGTCCATCGGTTTCAAGCAAGGCAAAAACAGTTACAATCAATTCTTGTATCTGAAGAAGAAAAGATTTGAATTCATTCCCCCCAAAAATGCACCATGAAATTCAGTGTAACTTTTGACAGATATTGGCTTCTGTTCAACACAACTTTGGAGGGTAACAGCTAGCCTAGCATTGCCTTATGTAAACAAGGTAAAAGGTCTGTCTACCTGTAGGCTACTACTGACTACTGACTGTTTTTTGCAGTGACTTAAATGTTAGTTTATTGTTTTGCTGGTGACAAAGTGTGTGAGCTTTCTTATGCTAAGCTTAGCTACCATCACCTAGCTGTTATTTCTATCTATCTAGAGCAGTGCATCTGGGATTTGTGCATGGTTAAATGTTAAAGCACCAATATTACTGTATTGTCCATGTCAAATGAACAAATAAATAACTTCATTTAGCTCACAGTCATTGAGTTTCCCCAGCTCCACCATGATTGGTTAACATTATGATTTATATACTTAAGAATACAGATCTGGTTTGATGAGACTGTCTTCTTCTACAGGTTGAAACATGACAACTTAGTCGACATGGTCGGATTTTCCTGTGATGGACAGCACCCGTGTTTGGTGTACGCCCTCATGGCCAATGGCTCTTTGCTAGACCGACTAGCTTGCTTGGTAAAAACCAACACTTGCCCTACGTTCTATCTTTTAAAATGTACTACTTTTCCTGTCACAGAACGCATTTATACCTTGTTTATTGCTTGTGGTTCTTATAGGATGAAAGCCCTCCACTGTCCTGGCTGCAGAGGTGCACGATCGCTGAAGGGACAGCAAGAGGCTTGGAGTATCTGCACAACAACCATCATGTCCACAGAGATGTGAAAAGGTAAATAGAGGAGGCACGTTTGTCGTTTTATGAACGCACCCAAAAATGATCTACTCTTAAAGGAAAAGTTTTGCATTTTGGAGAATACGCTTGTTCACTTATTTTGCTGAGAGTCTGAGTGAAAAAAATTGAACCCACTCTTAGAACCCATTAACATGTAATCACATCGTGCATCTTCTGCAGATCAGATAGATGTGATCTCAAAAAGCTTTCAGGACAGAGTAAGTGCAGCCAAGAAGGATTCGAGATAGATTGAAATAAGATTTCTCAAACCATCTCTCAAACATGATAGATACAAATGAAGCTAGAGCAAAAAGGAAGACTGATGTTGTCCGTTGTTGTTTTGATCTTCTGCTTTTGGACTGGAAAAAATGTTTGTCAGTGAGCGTTAGAGGGACTTTGTGGATGTTGTTAGCTCCGAGCAGAGCCAGGCTAAATAAATGTTGCTGCTGCGCTCTCTTCTGACTTTTAGGAAGAAAGTGAATGTGAGATTATTCCCCAAAATGTGCGACTGTTCCTTAGACATTTGTCGCGAGCTCAGAAAGGCCTTTCTCACGACATTTCATTTCTTCCCGTTAAGTGCAAATATCCTGTTGGATGAAAAACTAGTGGCAAAGATCTCCGACTTTGGGCTGACGAGAGCATCCCCAAAGCGCACATCGACAACCATGATGACGGAGAGGATCGTGGGTACCCGTGCATACATGGCGCCCGAGGCTTTAAGAGGCGAGATCACGGCAAAATCAGACGTCTTCAGCTTTGGAGTGGTAGGCTTTCTGCAGACACGCACATCTAGAGACATGCACTCACACACACACACACACACACACACACACACACACACACACACACACACACACACATAAACACACACATAGGGGTATTATAATGTCAGGAAGGAGAAAGTGCGGCGGTAATGCGAAATACTGACCCCGACTCAGCAGTTTACTTGAGTGCAAGGTTCTCCTAAAGTACTGACACGCACATAATTGCGGGATGCAAACATTAGTGTATAGATTTCTCCCCATTTGTGAAACTAGAGCTCTGTTTTATGTATCAACTGTCATTATTCCCTGCTAAAAAAAAAATCTGAGGGTGCACAGCTGCATTGTGTCAGTCTCTATAAATGTCAAACGTATTATCCGATGTATGACATTGGACGAATGATTGACAGGGTCAGCAGCACTGTATGAAGCTGCCCGTCCTTCCTTACAGCTCAGTATGTACAGGTTATATGTGTGCTATAGGGCAGCTGTGGAAACACTACAGCGTCTGTAATCCTGCCGGGCTCATGGATGGGTAATAAAGGTTTTCTGTCTACCTAAAGCCACGTGATTAAGCCCACCTTCTCTGCTATCTACAGGTGTTGTTGGAAATATTGTCTGGACTCCCGCCAGCCGCTGAAAACCGTGAGCCACAGTTCCTGGTAAGCTGCACAAAAGAGGCTTTGACTGCAGGATCTATCAAGCATCAGTTTACGATTACAGCTTATTACAGACTTAGCGTTTAATTAAGTAAGGCGCGTGTTATCAGCTAGTAGTCATTAGGGAGTAATTAAGACAGGTTTCTTGTTGTGCTGATCAGTGTTCACATGGTTTTATATACAGTATATAAATCCAAATTTGGAGGTCATGGCAAATAAGAATGCACCCTCAAAATCAAGTTCCTCCAGTATGACACAAGCACTTATCAATATAAACACTCCCACAGATGGAGATGAGGTACGACATAGACGATGAAGACGAGGATCTGACCTTGGAGGACTTCCTGGACAAAAAGATGGGCGACTGGGAGCTGAGCCAGTCGGAGAGTATCTACTCTTTGGCCTGTAACTGTCTCCTCGAGAGGAAAAACAGACGGCCCGTCATCAAGCAGGTACAGTCAGAGGAGACAGGTATCAAGCTTTATAGTTTGAGCCGACGGTGCCGGAGTCATCATGATTGTGTGATGAGCTCCAGGAGCAGCAATGAAAACTAACAACCTCCATTCAAAACGACAGAAACAACGACGTCTGAGTCAGTCTATTAAGATCTCTGATCTGACTGCCATATCCTGTGGCTCTGAACTACATCCCATTGAATTGTTCTGGATGCCTCATGCCTATTTATTGATTTTAACAGAAATAAAGGGGGGTTCTGTCCTTCCTCCTTACGCCCTTTTCAAACAGAAAGATGTTTTAAAATACTGACAGTGTGCTGTTAGAGCTGTTTGTTGTGCTTACCTATAAACAGCATTTAATTTTTAATTTCTAAGATGATCAAAATAAATCAGTAAAAGGGGGGGGGAGAAAGAGGCATATAAAATTAAACATGAGTATAAAGTGCACTCATTTTCATCTGCAGATTTGATGCATAAGTAAGAATTCAACTTGTAATAGACTAAAGCGTCAGTCTGGCCTATATGGTGTTTTAGTTTTGGGGGGATTAATGTCAGTTTATGAAACAGAGGTATATTTGATTACGTATATCAGCCTTTAGCTTCACAGACAATACCTTTTTAATGGGAGCAATTCAGCTGTTTTAGTTTTTCAAATTGATTTTTTTTTTTCACACAGACAGATTGCTTCTCAGAAATCTTTCCCTTTAGTAGATATGTTTCATGGAACTGAGGAATCTGGTTCTCTAATGAAGCACTAAAGTCAAAGACATCTTGCCTTCAGGTTATTTTATTTGAGCTTATGTAATGTTATGTGAGGTTAGGTTACGTCTCGCACACATTCATCCATATTGATGCCAGTAGATTCTCCCCAAGCTTTACTGAATGTGGCAGAGGCAGGGACACAATGAAATCATCGAAGTTAGGCGTGAATCAAACTATGATCAACTGGAGGCAAATAACTATAATGTTTGATATGCTTCAGCTTGTATGCCTGTGTCTGATGTACAGTGTTACCTTCTCCACAGGTCCTGATGGAGGTGAAAGGAGTTGTCAAAAACATTTTACTGGATCATAAGGTCCAGAAGTGAAACAAGAGACGAGAAGACAAAAGATTTCTGAGCCTGCTGAAGTAACAGTGCACCTGCTTCTCACCAGAGAAGAATGAGAAATCAATGTTGCTTGTTCACTCTGACTGACAAATACATATTTTTTCCATGAATATTGTCTTTTAAATGATTCAGTATATTTTTTATAAGAGTGTATGTATTCTTGTTTTGTCTTTTCATGTCTTGCAGAGGTTGGAAACAATCATCCTCACCAGTTTGTGACGACAAAAGAATAAAATGCATGACAACACTTCTGATTTAAATATTTTATTTTTCTTCTTTAAAAGAAAGATTTGTAAGAAAACAAATAAGACTGAACATTTTTTTTTCTATTATACTGACACTATGAATAGAAAGGGCTTTTCCCTTTAACCATGAGGTGAGCTTAGTAGTTTGTCTAATATTAATCAGTAGAACAGTGGATGTGGCAACATATCATCAAGGATCTTTTTAAGTATTCCCTTTCCTCTCAGGTTGACTCGGCCTCCCCCGTGGCGTGGGAACCCGGCAACATGTGAGGAGCTTCCTCTCAGTGAAATATGAGATGTATTGATGTAATATTTCTGGAAGCCCCGGTTCTTTCCGCTATGATCCTCACCGACACCGAACAATCACCAGAACAGACTGTTTCTTAATCATAGAGCATCACACAGCTACAATATGTACATTTACAGCACTTGCATAGAAAAATAAGTTTCTCAGCAGATGATTTGTTTTCATGTAAACCACAGTTATATCAAAAAAGAAGTCAATTTGTCCAATATAAAATGCACGGTTAAAATGAATCAATAGACACAAGTGGGGTCATTCTATGTTTTTTTCGGCTTTGGAGCACCTCATTGTGCAAACAGTAGGAGACCAATCTGGAACACATTAGACACAGAAACATTAATTGACACAGACTTAAGGAATGCAGGTTAAAAACTGGAGGATGTGAACTCAAAATGGTTTTTTTTTTCTTTTCTTTCATATTGGCGCAAGTTCACATTTCTGGCAACAATGTAAAAACTCAAGGTTGACTTTTTTTTTTTTTTCTCTCTTCCCGAGCCGATTTGAATCCCTGTTAATTCATTATGGTGACTGTGCTAAACACACATTAATACGCTTCCATTTGGCAAGCTACAAATGGAGACTCTGCCGTGTGTCATTGCTCAGTTGTCCTTGGCGTGCATAGTTGGATCTCTAGGTGAACTTTGCGGGAATTTTGAATGTTGTCTTATTCTTTTAAACAAGCGTGAAAATATGATTTCCCCCTCCCCCCCATCACAGGAATGCTCCACTGTGGAACGTGCTCAGAGTGGAGGTGGTGGCCTGGCTGCTGAGGTCTGTTTAATCTTCCCCCTCTCCCTCTGCGGGTGGTCGGGTGAGGCGGCGGTATCCCCTCTTCCCCGTGGGCCCTTTGGGCTTGGCGAAGGCCTGCTTGTGTGCATGCTGCTTGGGATGCACCTCCTCATACAGGAAATCACTGGTCAGCTCGTCCCCGTCGTCGATCTCCAACTGCGACACAGACACACAGAAAGGCTCCATCTTTAACAAGCCTGATTTCATATTCTGTATGATCCATACTGCACACATCACCTCATGCACTCACGCATCAGAATACATTCCCAATCTACTGTCTGCCTCAGCTTCAACAGGTTGGAATGGTCTTTGATCATTTCACATTAGAGTTTTTTTTTTATTGTCTGTGTTTACTCAGATTAAATAGAGCAATGATATGCTGAAAACAAGTAAAGCGAAGCACTTTTGAATCAAACATTAAGAGACAATCTTGCCACTTTACCTCAAAATATCAACCATTGTTTATCTATAGAATGTCCAAAAAAAAAAAAAAGTGTCCTCTTTTTCACAGCTTGTGCCTAACTGGTCTGTATAACCAGTGCAGACACACTATGTGGGGAGAGATGTTGTTCTGCTGTTGAGATAATGATGGAGGAACTTACAGAGCTAAACTGACGTTGATGCTATTGTAAGAGCCGACAGGACACAACAGTGTGTGGTTGTGTGTGTTTTGACACTCTTGCTCTTTGTTTTCCGTCGTCCTCTTTAACTCCCAGAATGAAAGCGTGTCTTGTACAGCAATATAAGATGAGCAAAATAGCCTTCGTTGATCCACCACAGGAGAAATCAACTTGTCATGGCAGCTCACAAAAAAACAAACACGATATTTTCATGCATTTTTTTGGTTCAGTGAACGTAAACGAAGCCAGCATACGTGCAGGTGCAGGGATCTCTTGCTTGTTTTATTTGACCATCAGTTCAAAATGAAGGGATAATGTTGCAGCAAACAAACAACAGTCTTCTGAATAGATTACACCTCATGATTTTATATGTAAAATGTGTTTTTTGTGTGTGTGTTACTTTTGCAGTGTCGTACCTTTTTCTCAATCTCAATCTGGAGATTTCTTTCCACCATGTCGACCAGGGGATTTTTGCAGCTGGAATACAGCATCCTCTCTTTGATGCTACACTTGTACCCGGGCATAGAATAAATGAAGACTGTGCAGTGGGGAGAAGAGAAAAAAAAAAAACAATGAAGAGCGGACACAGAGCAACATGGAGAAAAAGGAGCAGTGTAGAATAATAGCGAGTGTGTCTAATGCTTTAAAATAAGTTGAGAGAAAGTGTTCACCTGTGGACTCCAAGTAGTCGCCTTCATGGGAATGTTTGTAGAGGAAGAAGTGGTAACGTGGAGATACTTTGGAGATTCTCATTGGCAGGTCTTTCAACTCTGTTGGCTCAGTGTTGCACAGCCGAATCAGCTCCTGTTCAGCGTCCACTTCCTGTTGAAGGGAGAAAATAAATGTATCTCAAGGTTGGTGGAACGAGGAATCCCTGCTTGAATTCTAGACCGACTGCTGATATGATATGAGATATGAATCCTGCATAGTCCTTAGAGCAAAGCAGGATATTGACTTTTTCCCTGAGTATTATTCTTACTAAACCTCTTTTATTTCTGTCTATAGTTTCTCTTTTTCTTTGCCTTGTCTGTTCTTGGTGGAGAGTTTAGAATGATGAACTATACGATCATGTAAGTATTGTTGGTGTATCTTGTTTTAGTGTTGTAGTCAAGACATTTAGGGATCGAGTCCGAGACAAGACCAAGACATTTAGGGATCGGGACAAGACCAAGACATTTAGGGATCGAGTCCGAGACAAGACCAAGACATTTAGGGATTAAGGATCGAGTCCAAGTCAAGACAAAGACCATAAATATCACTAAAAAATCATCATCTTGTGTGCCGGGGGCGTGTCACTAACTTAGACCATAACACCGGGAAGGTTTTGGACGTGACAGAAGAATACAAATCTTATTATGAATGAAGTTATTTGTTCTTTTAGAAAGGGGAATTTGTCCAGGCCTGTTAGTGGTGGTCTTGATTTAAAATCCGGAGTCCGCCCAGTCTGAGACCGAGACAACGGGAGTAAAAATGCTTTCTGTTCTGAGACGAGACCTACAAAAGACTGGTCTAGAGACTAGTCTTGAGACCAAGACTGATTCCGAGTACCACAACACTTTGTTGTTTCTCTTCACCTGAGTCTGTTTACAATGAGCTCGAGGCAGGATACTCTTAGGTACAATCAAAATGTTACTTCCAACATAAAAATAAAACCTATCTGTGAGGAGAGTGAATAACAAGCGTCTCCCTCTCAGGTGCGTCTGAGTGAAACATTTACTGTTCTGCTGCTCAGCAGATTAATAGAACTAAACACGCCGCTTCCTTACAGCTTTTAGGACCACAAACGAAAAAGGAACCGAGACAAAGCTGCAACAGTGGCACAAAAACGCCTTTGTACTTTGCACAGATGTGATCTTGTGACACTGACCCTTCGAATTTCAATGAGAGGAACAAAGGCTTTTTGGGCAAAAAGAGTGACTCATTGTGTTTGTGTGCCGCCGCCAACAACACCCCCCCACCCCCCCCACCCCACCCACCACACACACACAACCTCTCTCTCAGAACAATGTATAGAGACAAACAAAATATGCTTGTTCCAAGTATTGATCGACCAAAGGTCACCTGCTCTCTAATGATTGCCTGTTAAAGACTCACCAGTTGTACGTAGTTGTGTTTTCCGTCCCTATAGCGTTGGAGTGCTGCGACAGCATCTTTGTGCATGGGGAAAGCCACTCCCTGCAGAGTCGCATGTTTGGTGTCCACACCGATGTCTGTCTGCACCTGAACACACAAACACACAAAATGAACAACATCGCACTTCAGCGTTTTGTTGGCAAGCCATGGTTACAAAGGCCGTCTAAATTAGAGCAAACATAGTCATGTTAATGAGGGCACTAATAGGGACAATTGGAGCTTTATTATTATAATACGTCGTCCGTTTTTATTAAAAAATACGATCTTATTTAAAAGCAACACGAATGCAAAAACTTCTAAAAAAGACAGGGTGTTAGTTTGTGATTTGCAACACGGTCTTATTGTGCTCAAAGTACGTATGTGTCTACATACACAAACACAAGAATCCAGATGACTTCATGACCACATGATGTTGACATGCTCGTAAGTAACATTATGGAATCATACAGAGAAGCACAAGTTAAAGAGAAAAAAAGGTTTCTCCATCACTTCCTTCAGGTCACATTTATTTCATTGCCTTAAAAACAACCTGTTCTTGTTTTTCATTCCTGTTGTTTATAACTTTCAGTTGGCCAAAAGGACAAAGTGTGCGCTATTGTTGCTCTTATTACTGTTGTTCTCCATTTTTAAACCAGGTCTTGTTCAACAGCGAGAGAGCTGGGGGAAGTTGGGAGAGCACTCTGTATTTGTGTAACTACCGGTACGTGTTTTAGGGCCCGACAAATATGGATTTTTGGGCCGATATCGATATTGGGAGAAGAAAAATCTGATACCGATATATCGACCGATGTTTGTCTTAGCTCTATGTTTGAGCTGTAGAGATAGAAAGACATACATTTTAAAACCACATTTATTACATTTGTCCCTCAAACACAGTTATCAAATACTCGTGGAAAGATGTACAGTACAACATAGACAAGACGGACACTCGACTGAAAAGTAAGTCACCGCTTTACACTGTAGAGTGATAATGCTTGTTGTAATCCATATTGCACCCTGCTGGTGAAAGCCAGAAAGAGAACTGCTAGTGTAATTCAACAATACTCGCGTTAAATGCTATTTGACTGGTAAATAAATCGTAATATTGGCTCATATCTGCGTTACAAGCCGATACCGCTAGTCATTGATTTGCTAATATCGGCTGATATCATCGGCTGGCTCTGATAATCAGTCGAGCTCTAGTATGTCTGTCTGATAAGTGATGCTGTTTTGTATGCTTGTGTATTACTTCACACACAAGAATACCCCTTCAGAATGAGCTGATACGTCTCAGGGGGCGATCCTTTAATAAATTCCAAATCAATACATTTCTGTTCGGTTATTAAATTCAATCATGCGTTTAAACACTGAGGAACACACACAGGTTCCCACTGCTTACTT